TCCCTACAAAACCCCCTGTAATTCATATTGCAAAAAAACCCCAAAACCTCATTTCAGAGTACTTAGTGTGACTCCAGGTCAATGACACATGCCAAATATAGTTTGTGTACTGGGGCACTAACACTCATGTTTTGGTTTCTATGATCATGGATGTACCTTTGAGAAGCTGGGTCTGTTGGGAGCTGATCAGATTCATTTGACCCAGTGGGACAAGAGGGTTTTTGCCAACAGGTTGGCCAGACTCACATAGTGAGACCCTACCTGGAGTACTGCATCCAGCTCTGGGGTCTCCAGAACAAGAAACACATGGACTTGTTACAGCAGGTCCAGAGGAGGTCCATGAAAATGATCAGAAGACTGGAACACCTGTCCTATGAAGAAAGGCTGAGAGAGTTGGGGGTTGTTCAATCTGGAGAAGAGAAGGCTCCAGGCAAATCATACTGCTGACTTTCAATCGACAAAGGGGGCTTATAAAAAATGATGGAGGGAGACTTTTTACCAGAGCCTGTAGTGACAGGATAAGGAGCAATAGCTTTGAACTGAAAGAGGGTAGGTTTAGACTGGATACAAGGAAGGTTTTTGGTTTTTTTTATGAGGGTGTGAAACACTGGAACATGTTGCCCAGCGAGGTGGCAGATGCCCCATCATTAGAAGTGTTCAAGGCCAGGTTGGATGAGGCTTTGAGCAACCTGGTTTAGTGAAAGATGTCCCTGTCCATGGCAGGGGGGTTGGACTACATGATCTTTAAAGGACCCTTCCAACCCAAACCATTCTGTGATTCTGTGTGCCATGGTCCAGTCATCAGAGATGGAAAGTCAAACACAGCAAACAGCATTAGATTAAAAATTTATCCTTATGGGTCCTTTACAACTTGAGACATTCTATGATACTAGGAGAAGTCACTAGAGCACCACAACTAGAGTAGCTCATCACAGCACATTCTATGAATCACATCACAGTAGTATCTGCATGGTTATGCTTAAAAAAAAACCAAACAAAAACAAAACAAAACAAAGAAGAAAACCCCCAAGACGCTCTGGGTGCACCTGATGGTCCTGGAGTAGGCAAATGTCTCATATGCAGTATTTCTCTCCGAAGATGATTCCATATAAAACATACTAGCCTAGCACCAAGCTACCAAGTGACAGTGAATTTTGATATCAGCACTGGAAATCTATACTTTGGTATTTATGCTTTAGAAAAAGAAAACCCAAAAAAAATCCAACTGAAGCTGTTAATTCACAGCAGGGTATGCATGTGTTAAAAATGCAAATACTACAATAAAAAAAAAAAAGTGAAGTATTGCATTCCCTGCTATGGAAGTCTCTTCTTAGCATTCACTTTTCTTGTTTCACTTTTTCATTTCACAGAATCACAGAATGTTGGGGA